TGTTTTTTCAAACCAGGTGGTAGCTTTTCCAAACCAAAAGAGCAACTACAAGGCGGTTGGAAGTTGTTTGAAGCTGTGAAAAATGATGATATTGGTTTGCTACATCTAGATGCTTTGTGTTGTCTGGAAATGGTTGTGCTTTGCTATGCCTGTGTGTAATTGTGGTATGTCTCTGGTCATGTGGGTGGCATGCATGTTTTGAGCCAAACCAAATCAGCTGCACATATATGTTTACCAACAAGAAGTTTACCTTTTTCAAGGCCAAATTCTTGTTTATTTCTTTTCCCAAGACCCTAAATTAAATTTCTTTGTTTCTTACCAGAAGTACCCTGGGCTGCTTACCTTTTAAAGCACTTTCCCTCCTGAAAGGCTGCCCTCTTAGCAGCTTCATGTGCAGTTGGTCAGCCAAAAATCCTTTTTCACGGAACCTAAGAAAACTATATACAATCCTCTCTGCCAAGGAACCAAAAGAAAACTATATACAATCCTTTTTTAATTAAAAAAAAATGGCACACAGATCTTCTCTCATCTGCAGTGCTTCTTCCTTTGTCAGGTTGTCCTTTTCCAAGGCTTCCATGATGCTGTCAATGATCCAATGGTACTGCAGGCTCCTCCTTTTAGCTACTTCCACAATCAGACTGGGTTTCCACTTTTTTTTTGATGGGTACCTGCCAGGTAGCACCTTTCAGACTTTCTACTTGTGGTTTTGAGCAACTTCACCCATGGGAGGCTTCCCTTTTTCAATCGCTTGCCCTGTTCCAGGGGTCCTTTTTCAAGGAACTCTTGGATACTGCCTTGGCCTTTTTCAAGGAACTTTTGGATGCAGCTGGCTTTCCCTTCTTCAAGGTTCTTTCTTGCTTGCAGCCTTGCTCTTTTTCAAGGCTGCTGCAAGCTTTTTCCTGAACCCCCTTTGGAGATGGAGGCCTGGATGCACTTCACTTGCATCCTCCTGCATGGCTCTGCTGCCAACCCTTCTTCTTTTTCCAAAGAGGTTGGGTGGCTTTGCAGAGCTGGCAGGGCTGGCCAGCATCGCAGGCCAACACTTGGAATCTACAGAGACATTGCTGGGTGTCTCATTCAGCTTTCTCTTTGCTTTGCCCTGTGGAGACTCATGTTTCAATGAGCTGGCAGCATTCTTTTTTCAAGATGCATCCACCTTTTTTCAAAGGTGCCTTCTCCACTGGTTTTGGGTCAGTGATAGCAACCTTCTTCAAGGTGGCTTGCAGCTGGGCATATTCCAAGCTGGTCAGATTAGCCAGGCAAAAGGCATTGCCTGCTTCTGCCCTGGCTAACTTTCTGACATGGTGCAGCAACACATTCAGCCTGCCAATTCTCATGTTTACCCAAACTGACCCTTTGTATCTGCTTCCATTCAGGCTTGGGTCCTGCTGAAGCACCTGGAAAAAAGCAGTTCTCAATGGTTGGGCTGCAATGCTGGCTGATGCCTCAATGGACACCAGGCCCTCAATGAGAGGAAGCATGTAATGCATGGCCCTGGGGTACACTGCACTGTTGGCACACAAAATTTCATAACCTTTCATGCCGGTTATGAGTTAACTTGGTTCAAGAGCTATACTCTGTAGAGGGCCTAGAGGGTATATACGTATATGCATCGTATACATATAGCTTCCGCATTTATTTACAACATATATGGGCAATATGTGTCACATATGCCCCAACAATTGTTTTTTCACATATGTGCAAATGTCCGTAAGATCTGATTTTATGTAAATAAGATCTTACGGACATATATTAAAAGTCCGCAAGACCTTATTTACGTAAAACAAGATCTTGAATCTTAAATATTTGAAATGTAATACATAAATGTAATGTATATGTAATGCATATGCAACTGCAAATGTGTACACAAATGTCTACATGGATATATGTATATGATCATGTCCACCTGTACTCTAGAGAAACCTGGCCCACATAGCTCTTGAATCAAGATAAGCTATGAGGGCAGAGTGCCTGTCCAAGGCTTTGAACAACAGCCCTGCATCCAGGTATGGTTTGGCAAAGTGTCTGGGACCGCCTCTGCCAGACATCCTTTTTTAAGGATGTCCTATTTCAAGGATGTCCTTTTTCAAGGAAGTTCTTTGCAATTAAAGTGTTGTTGTTCTTTTGCTAGCTCTTGATCAAAAGAACGGCTGCAAAAGCATGAAAAAAGTGCTTTTGGAAAATCAAAGAAATCAATCTGAAAATCGAAAAAACATTTTTTGGAACCAAAGAATTCAAACCAAATCTTTTCGAACAAAAATCAACTATGGTCAAACTTTTCAAAATCAATCTGAAAAGAAGGAAGTTTATTGATTGGAATCAATATTCGATGCTCAGGGTACATGGTCATGACATGGGAACGATGTGGTAATGACATGGTAGTGGCCTGGTAATGGCATGGCGATGACATGGTGACGAGATCCGAATGGTATGGTAACGAAATTGTAATGACGTGGTAGGGACGCAGTGGCCAAATGGCAATGACATGGCCAGTGGGTGGTGATGAAATGGTGCTGATGACAGTAAACAACGTGGTAATGACATGGAATAATGAAATGTCAATGACTTGTTCAAGTGTGACGACATGATCTTGACATCGTACTAACATTGTAGCGGCATGGTACTGACATGGGGTTGATATGGCAACAGAAAAACCATGACATGGTAATGAGATGGTCATGACATGGTGTTGACATGGTAACGACGACATGGTGTCAAGATGGTAAAAACACTGGCATGACCACTCACATGGTATCGACATCGTCCTGACATGATGACCAGAGAGTAATCACACAACAAATGACATGATGACGAAATGGTATTTGGCAATGAACACATCTTTGATTCGACTGACCTCCGGCAAATCACAGGAAAAAGGTGCAGCATGGCCAAGTTGGGAGATGTCGGGAGGTATGAGGGACTTGCGCCATCTATGTGGGCATTCCCAGCCTGATTTTGGCGAATGAGTGGGACTTGCGCCATCCATGTCCCCCAAAGGCAGCTTGATGTTGAGGAAAAAAATGGGTGCAAACCAGCGCAGGAGATTTTGCAAAAAATAGGTCATTTTTAGGGACATACATGGCGCGAACTACCTGTTTGAAAATGGAATTGCGCCATCTATCCCCTCTATTTTCCAGTTGACATAGTTGGCGCAACTCAATATTCAGAGCCACGTACTTTCAATCCGGAGTAGGCGATAAGCATTCATTTTTTAGGTTATTAGTAAGTGCATTCATGTTGAGTTTTTCCTGTTTTTCTTATGTGTGATGTTGTGGATGAAAGAATGTTGTTGCTATTGCTATTGTTTGTAATAATTGTTGGGGTTATCATTGACTGTTAAGTTTTTTGAAGTAACCCCATTGTTGGAATGTAATCATTGAATTTCAATTTTGCTGCTCATGGTGAATCTGAACAATTTGAAGACGCAAATTGTTGACTACAACAAGAGACGCAGAGTAGCTTGAGTAACATCGTCGCTGGCAGCCCTTTGGAAAAATGCAGATTCCTGAGCTTTGTTACTTGAGAGTCACTTACTTGTGGATCACTTGCTTGTGTCTAACTTACCTGAATTCATTTTACTTCAGTCTATGCTCTTATTTACTTGAGTTATTGTTTTCACTTACTTGTGTCTTGATTACTTGAGCAGTATCATACTCTTTGTTTACCTGACATGATTTGCAAACCATCAGAACCAAACCTCTTTCCAAAACATTTTTTGTCAATACCATTCAGATAACCTGGAAACTATTTAAAATTGTTTTGAATGTGAGTATTTTGTTTATCTCAAATCTTTCAAAAAATACAGTTTTGAAACCTTAAAAAATATCAAAGAATCTAGAATATATATATATAAACTCTATACAGTTCATACGTAGTTTATATGCAGTTTATATGCGGTTTTTAAAACTGCATATGAACTACATGTAGTTTGATCAAAAGTACATGTAGTTTATATGCAATTTTGAAAAAAAGCATATAAACTGCATAATAGATAGAGTTTATATGAACTACATACAAACTGCACAAAAACTAGATTCAAACTCCATGCAAACTATCCAGACAATATAGAAAATTATTTAGAAATCTTATTTTTTTTGAGGCTCTAAAGTTAAAGTTAAAGCTGCGTTGATGGCCTTTTGGAGACCCTTACAGCACGAAAGTTCCTAGCCTGGAGTTCTGTGTGGCAGGCGCAGGACACAGGACACGTTTTCATACGCGTGGCAGGTGCAGTATTTCGTAGTATTTCGTGCACGTTGCTAAAATGCTGCAGGCGCGGGTGGAACTGAGAGGTGCTGCCGGCGGATTTTTATTTGCAGGCGCGAAATTTAAGGTGGTGAACTTGGACGATCGTAACGCTCGTTTTGTGAGACTGTCGACATTTTTGGATCTGGTGTTCATTGCGCATGGCAGGCGCAATACTTCGGGTGATCTAAGCTAACTTTCTGTTTCAGGTGCAATACTTGAGAGATCTCGACGAAAAATTGGTTAAAATCTAGCAAACACACGTCTCTTGACATGTTCAACTTTCACTTTTCGTGGTGCGTGCAAAAATTGTTCAAAATACATCAGGAGATCGCTCAACCCTCTCGTCCCTTTGTAAGTCTTGGGTGGTCTCTTTGTGCGTGTTGGATCCCTGTCGTTGTGGCCTGTATTGGCGGTGCTTCTATGAAAGCTTTTGGGACATGCTCTGGGGAGGCTATTGTAAAAAGATCTTGTAAGATCTGCTAAATGTCCTTTTACGAGAAGATCTTGCGGGGATCCTGGTGAGATTCTCGCAAGAGGTCCTTGCATGAAGTCTTTGAAGATGCCTTGTGTTACTTCTATGCAAGCTCTTGCGGGATGCACACTATCTTGCAAGATCATCTGGAACGTCCTTCTATGACGGTCTTGAGAGATTCTCTTACAGGTCCTGATTTGCAAATCTTGTCAAGAGTTTTTGTCAGTAGATGTTTTGTAAGCATGGTTTCCACAAGTTCCCGCTCCAGATCGCAGCGAGGCACCGACACCTTTGCAGTGGAATCCAAAACCATTGATGCCTCGAAATGCCACCAAGCGCCCCGACAGAGCATCATCAGACTGAATGTGGACCCATGAATTAATCTAGTCGTGGCTACTTAGCGGTATGAATGGCCCAGTCAGGAGTCAGGTTATTGCGACATACCGAGTTACAATTGCATATATATATACATATAAATATGTGTGTGTATATTTAAAGAAATGTGCTTAAAATGTATGTATTTATAATATATATATATATAAATATATATATATAGATATATATATATATAGAATTGTGTGTCGAAACTATGTATGTATGCATCTATGTATCTATATATATATATGCATGCATACATACATGCATGCATGTATGTATGCATGTATGCATGCATGCATGCATGCATGTATTGCGTGTACCTATCAATCAGTCAATCAACCAATCAACCAAACAATTAATCAATCAATCTATCTAATGCATTTAGGTATAAATGTATGCATGTGTATATATATATATATGTATATATAAACGTATGAAATGTATGTGTATATATATATATGTATGTATGTATACGTACTTAATACGTTTTATTGCTCACTACTTACAACTCCTGGGATGCAGCATCAAGGACGAAAGAAAAGAAAGTATTGAAATGCACAAACCGCTTGCCGATTGGAGCTCTGTCACGGATTTTTGCTTTTGGTGGCCCCAACCAATCCAAAAAAACGTGGTCAAATGGGACCATTTAAAACAGTAAGGTGGAAGAATCACTTCGAGATTTGACACTATCAAGCAGTTTTCAAAGATTGAAACATTGAAACCACATGGGTGTGTCTGAAATTGGTGGTTTCACGCCCGCTTTATGGTTTTTGAAATAAGAAAAAAACAGTGGTTAATTACAGGATGGAACGGGGCACCATATTTTCAGACAAACCCATCTAGCGATTCACTACTTCCAGTAATTGGCCAGTATGATTCCCTACTATATAATACTGGCGTGATCATTCTGCAACATGGGTGTGGAATCCAGCTGGGGACCATGTGGCACACACACAAACATATGTAAATATATTTATACGGTGACTCCTGTTACCATGATGATTATCATAAATATGCATGTATACTGTATAAGTATATTATATACATAAAATCATATATATATAGTTAAAGGACCGGATAACCCCACATGTCAACTTCCTGCAGCAAACTCAAAACAGGTGTGAAATTGAAACATGGGATGGGGAAGACAGATTGTGTGAAAGAACTGTGTGATAGAGCTGTGCGTGAAAGAGTTCTGTGTGAATGTTCTGTGTGTGACAAGGAGCGGTTGTGTGTGACAATGCTGTATGTGAAAGAGTCGTGTGTGAAAGGCAGTGTGTGAAAGAGTTGTGTGCAGAACAGTTTTGTGCGAAAGGCTGTGTAAAAGAATTGTGTGTGTGACACTTTTGCGTGTGAAAGAATTGTGTGTGAAAGGTTGTGCGTGAAAGAGTTGTGTGTGGAAGTTTTTGTGTTCAAGCTTGTTGTGTGTGTGAAAGCGTTGTGTGTGTGTGGAAGTTTGTGCGTTCAAGTTCGTGAAAGAGATGTGAGTGACAAAGTTGCGTGTGAAAGAACTGTGTGTTCAAGTTTGCGCGAAAGAGTTGTGTGAGCGTTGTGTGTGGAAGTGTGTATGTGTTCAAGTTTGTGTGTGAAAGAATTATGTTAAAAAGAGATGTGTGTTCAAGGTTGTGTGTGAAAGAGGTGTGTGTGTGTGTGTGAAAGAGGTCTGTGTGGAAGTTTGTGTGTTCGCGTCGATGTCACAAAGTGCCACACCTGCCACGCAAAACGAAGGTTGACACGCCTGCCACGCAAAGTGAAGGTGAATGTCGCCAAGTGCCACGCCTGCCACGCAAAGTGAAGGTGGATGTCGCCAAGTGCCACGCCTGCCACGCAAAGTGCCGCGGCATCACCGCGCGACCAACGGCGCCAAAGCGCGCCACTGGAGGCAGGTCAGTGCCCGAAGTGCCACGCCTGCCACGCAAAACGAAGGGGGATGTCGCCAAGTGCTACGCCTGCCACGCAAAGTGAAGGTGGATGTCGCCAAGTGCCACGCCTGCCACGCAAAGTGAAGGTGGATGTCGCCAAGTGCCACGCCTGCCACGCAAAGTGCCGCGGCATCACCGCGCGACCAACGGCGTCCAAGCGCGCCACCGAAGCCAGCCCGAAGGTTGGATGTCGTGAAGCGCCACGCCTGCCATGCAAAACGAAGGTAGATGTCGCCAAGTGCCACGCCTGCCACGCAAAACGATGTCGCCAAGTGCCACAAATGCGCCAAGTGCCACACCTGACACGCAAAGTGCCGCGGCGAAGCACGCCACCGGAGCCAGCCCAGTGCCGTAAGTGCCACTCCAGCCACGCAAAATGAAGGTGGATGTCGTGAAGTGCCACGCCTGCCACGCAAAGTGAAGGTGGATGTCGTGAAGTGCAGTTGTGTGTGAAAGATGGTGTGTGACAAAGTTGTGTGTGAAAGAGAGTGTGTGACAAAGTTGTGTGAAAGAGAGTCTTTGATAAAGTGGTGTGTGAAAGAGAGTGTACGACAAAGTTGTGTGTGAAAGATGGTCTGTGACAAAGTTGTGTGTGTGAAAGAGAGTGTGCGACAAACTTGTGTGTGTGTGTGAAAGATGGTCTGTGACAAAGCTGTGTGTGATGAAAGATCGTGTGTGACAAAGTTTTGTGTGAAAGAGGTGTGTGACAAAGTTGTGTGAAAGAGGGTGTGTGACAAAGTTGTGTGCGAAAGACGGTGTGTGACAAAGCTGTGTGTCAAAGAGAGTGTGTGACTAAGTTGTGTGTGTGGCAAAGTTGTGTGTGAAAGAGAGATAAAGAAAGTGTGTTGTGTGACAAAGTTGTGTGTGAAAAGAGTGTGTGACCGGGAGGCGGCGGGGCCGGGATACAGAATCAAACACAAGAACCCCACACAAAGATGTGGGGAACAAATGCGCACATACCTATATATATATATATATATACATATAGGCATATATATATATATGTATACATAAATCATGTTTGCATATGTTTGCGGATCAATATTTACGTATCTATATATATATATATATTGTAGATGAAAAACATCAAAACATCGTAGATAAGTCTAAATACATACTTTTATGTGATTATGATATAGCAACAAAAACATCCAAAAACTATAAACATGGATATGCAATGTGAACCAACTGTGCATATATATATATGGTGGTTGATCAAAATTCCTTTATCCGGGAGCAGCCATTCTTCGCGAATAAACAAATCTCTTTCGCGAATCTTTCGCGAACTCCATGCTTATCTTTCGCGGAAACCATGTTGAGCAACAACTCCTCTTATGAAGATTCATTCAGCACCTGCCAACTCACACCAAATTATCACGGATAACTTCTTCATAGCCTTACCAACGTGCAACTGGCACCACGGAATCCCCTTCTCAAACCAGGTTGTTATTGATTAGGCGATTTTTTTTGCAAGGCTTACTGGGCCACCCCCTTCAAAATGCATTTTGGCTTTCGCCCAGTCCTTCGCAGAACTTTGGCGGAACTTTCGCAAAAATACCCTATCCGCGGACCCCAGCCATCAGCAGGGGGCGCATCAGAGTAACCGCAAACACCAGGGGCCTTGGTGTTTGGCTCTTGCAAAACCTCATTTTTGGAAGCTTGGCTGCTGCATGTGGAGCTTGTTTCTTGAGACTTCAGAAAGCAACGCTAGGCAGTACCAGCGGCAGGTGCAAGGATGTGCTTCAAGACCATGGTATTTGGCTGTGTTGAAGCCTCACCTTCGGAAGCTTGGCTGCTATCTATGAAGGGAAAGGTAAATGTGCGGTACCATTCTCCTGCCGAACCCCGGGCCCCCCGGCGGCAAGAGGTGGTAGCCATGAACAAGCTGCAATGTATTTAATGAAAATGATAATGATTCATAACATCCCACTTTCGCAAACTTCCGCGAAAAAAAATCTCTTTCGCGAACTCGAAAAAAACTTTCGCGAGGGTTTCCAACACAACATGCACGGCTTTCGCAATTAAAACTCCTTACCGAGAACTTTAGATCAACCACCATATACATACATACATACATACAAACATATATACATACATACGTACGTACGTACGCACGTACGTACCTGCATAAATACATTACATTACATTGCATTACATTACATTAAATTATTACATTACATTACATTACATTACAACATGCATGCATGCATGCATACATACCTACATACATACAACATTACATACATACATTACTCTACATTACATTACATTTCATTTCATTACATTACATTGCATACATGCATACATACATACATACATAAATACATACATACATACATACCGACAGACAGACAGACAAACATACATACATAAATACATACATACATTAAGTACATACGTACATACGTACGTACGTACATACATGCATGCATGCATACATACATTACATACATACATTACATACATACATTAGTCTACATTACATTACATTACATTACGTTACATTACATTACATTACAATCATTCATTCATACATACATACATTACATTACATTACATTAAAACATACATACACACGTTACATTACATTACCTTACATTACATTACATTACAATGCATTGCATTACATTACAATCATTCATTCATACATACATTACATTACACTACATTACATTACATTACAATACGTACATACATACATACATACTGACAGACATACACACATACATTACATACATACATACATAGATAGAAAGATAGATAGATGGATGGATAGATAGATAGATAGATACATACATTACATACATTGCATACATTACATTACATTGCATACATTGCATTACATTACATTGCGCTACACTACATGACATTACGTTACATTACATTTTACATTACATACAGTGCAAACGATACATACATTACAAACATTACATACTTTACATACATACATACATACCATACATACCATACATACATACATACATACATACATACATACATACATACATACATACATACATACATACATACATACATACATACATACATATATACACACATACATACATACATACATACATACATACATACATACCATACATACCATACATACCATACATACCATACGTACATACATACATACATTCATACATACATACACACCTACCTACCTACATACATACATACATACCATACATACCATACATACCATACATACATTCATACATACATACACACCTACCTACCTACATACATACATACCATACATACCATACATACCATACATACCATACATACCATACATACCATACATACCATACATACCATACATACCATACATACCATACATACATCCATCCATCCATGCATGCATGCATACATACATACATACACACAATCACACATACATACATACATACATTACTTTACATTACTTTACATTACATTACATTACATTCCATACATACATGCATGCATGCGTGCATGCATACATACATACATGACAGCATTACATAACCTTACATAACATTACAAAACGTTACATAGCATTACATAACATTACATAACATTACATTACAGTACATACATGCATACATGCATGCATGCATGCATACATCCATGCATGCATGCATGCATACATACAAGCATACATACCATACCACACCACACCACACCACACCACACCATACCATACCATACATACCATACCATACATACCATACATACCGTACATACCGTACATATCATACATACATGCACACACGCAAACACGCATGCATATAGATACATGCTTCAATTGGCAAGTTCACCCCGAAATTTGCAGGAGTCATGCTCCTGACACCGTAAATTTCTGGCATGCCACGATGGGGATTCATGTGGGGCTGGACGTAGAGATCTTGCGCCATTTTCCCACTGGGACACGTAGCTCCATCGATTTTCAGTTCCCAACCTCGGTGCATCGCCCTCATGCGCTACCTGGTTTCAGATCATCTTAGATCACCTTGCAGTAATGTGGGTAAAACAATAATAAACCACCCATATTTTGATTGTTTACGTTACCTATTTATCGTGATTTGGGAAATGGTTTACTATTGTTTTACCACATGTTTTACCCACAGCCGATCATTTAGACTCATTTAGATCACCTTAGGCTATGCATCATAAATGTGTATAATGTTTGCACCCGATTAAAGAGATGGTACCCTATTGTGAGAAATTTCTTGCTCCTAATTCAGTCACATGCCAATTGTTGGGGGGGGCCTCTATTGTGAGATTTTTTTCCAGTTTTTTTTTTCAATTTTTATTTTTTCCAAATGCTTTAATTAACTTTTTTTTTAATTATTGTTCTATTTATGTTTATTTTTTTATTTTAGGTGCCTTATCAAACCCAAACAATTTTTGAAGGGGGTACCTCATGAGTGGCTCAGTTACTCAATAATAAAATTGTTTGGATGGTACTCTATTGTGAGCACCAACTTTTGGGAGTGAAACAAAAAAACAAAACCCTTTCTCCACCTTTCTTTGGGTAAAGCTGGCCCTTTCACTTTAGAAAGCCATATTTGCGTTAAAGCTTTAAAATGCAAGGTCTACTCAATAATATAATTGTCTGGATGGTACTCTATTGTGAGCACCAACTTTTTGGAGTGAAAAAAGAAACAAAACCATTTCTCCACCTTTCTTTGGGTAAATCTGGCCCCTTTACTGTAGAAAGCCACGGTTGTGTTAAAACTTTAAAATGCAAGGTTTTCAAATAATTAAATGCCTTATTAAACCCTTATCAAAAAAAAAACAGCATCCAGACAATTTTTCAAGGGGGTACCTCATGAGTGGCTCAGTTACTCAACAATATAATTGCCTGGATGGTACCCTATTGTGAGCACCAACTTTTGGGAGTGAAAAAAAGAGCAAAACCATTTCTCCACCTTTCTTTGGGTAAAGCTGGTCCCTTTACTTTAGAAAGCCATAGTTGTGTTAAAAGTTTAAAATGCAAGGTTTCCCAAATAATTAGATGCCTTATTAAACCCTTATCAAAAAACAGCATCCAGGCACTGTTTCAAGGGGTTACCTCATGAGTGGCTCAGTTACTCAATAATATAATTGTTTGGATGGTACTCTATTGTGAGCACCAACTTTTGGGAGTGAAAAAAAAAGCAAAACAATTTCTCCGCCTTTCTTTGGGTAAAGCTGGTCCCTTTACTTTAGAAAGCCATATTTGTGTTAAAAGTTTAAAATGCAAGGTTTCCCAAATAATTAGATGCCTTATTAAACCCTTATTAAAAAACAGCACCCAGACAATTTTTCAAGGGGGTACCTCATGAGTGGCCCAAATACTCAACAATATAATTGCCTGGATGGTACCCTATTGTGAGCACCAACTTTTGGGAGTGAAAAAAAAAGCAAAACCATTTCTCCACCTTTCTTTGGGTAAAGCTGGTCCCTTTACTTTAGAAAGCCATAGTTGTGTTAAAAGTTTAAAATGCAAGGTTTCCCAAATAATTAGATGCCTTATTAAACCCTTATCAAAAAACAGCATCCAGGCAATTTTTCAAGGGGGTACCTCATGAGTGGCTCAGTTACTCAATAATATAATTGTCTGGATAGTACTCTATTGTGAGCACCAACTTTTGAGAGTGAAAAAAAGGCAAAACCATTTCTCCACCTTTCTTTGGGTAAAGCTGGTCCCGTTTCTTTAGAAAGCCATAATTGTGTTAAAAGTTTAAAATGCAAGGTTTCCCAAATAATTAGATGCCTTATTAAACCCTTATTAAAAAACAGCATCCAGACACTGTTTCAAGGGGGTACCTCATGAGTGGCTCAGTTACTCAACAATATAATTGTCTGGATGGTACCCTATTGTGAGCACCAACTTTTGGGAGTGAAAAAAAAAAGCAAAACAATTTCTCCACCTTTCTTTGGGTAAAGCTGGTCCCTTTACTTTAGAAAGCCATATTTGTGTTAAAGCTTTAAAACGCACGGTTTCCCAAATAATTAGATGCCTTATTAAACCCTTATTAAAAAAACAGCATCCAGACACTTTTTCAAGGGGGTACCTCATGAGTGGCTCAGCTACTCAATAATATAATTGTCTGGATGGTACTCTATTGTGAGCACCAACTTTTGGGAGTGAAAAAAAAGCAAAACCATTTCTCCACCTTTCTTTGGGTAAAGCTGGTCCTTTCAAATTTCACTTTGGAAAGCCATATTTGTGTTAAAACTTTAAAATGCAAGGTTTCCCAAATAATTAGATGCCTTATTAAACCCTTATTTAAAAACAGCACCCAGACAATTTTTCAAGGGGTTACCTCATGAGTGGCTCAGTTACTCAATAATATAATTGTTTGGATGGTACTCTATTGTGAGCACCAACTTTTGGGAGTGAAAAAAAAGCAAAACCATTTCTCCACCTTTCTTTGGGTAAAGCTGGTCCCGTTTCTTTAGAAAGCCATAATTGTGTTAAAAGTTTAAAATGCAAGGTTTCCCAAATAATTAGATGCCTTATTAAACCCTTATTAAAAAACAGCATCCAGACACTGTTTCAAGGGGGTACCTCATGAGTGGCTCAGTTACTCAATAATATAATTGTCTGGATGGTACTCTATTGTGAGCACCAACTTTTGGGAGTGAAAAAAAAGCAAAACCCTTTCTCCACCTTTCTTTGGGTAAAGCTGGTCCCTTTACTTTAGAAAGCCATAGTTGTGTTAAAACTTTAAAATGCAAGGTTTATGATGCAAAGTTTTCTGCTATTTCTACAAAAGTTGACTATTTATTTTAGGAAAAAAATAGGAAAAAATAGGAATCAAAAATAGGAAACAAATAGGACGCAAAAACACACTTGACACAGGACTACAAAGCACTTCCCAATATATGTACTTTCCTATTTTTTCCTATGTTTTTCCTATTTGCAATTTTGGGCCCTATGTTTTCTTATGTTTGAATCCTATTTCCTAATTTTTCCTATTTTTCCTATTTCTGAACATCTGCTTCCAGCACCATACCTTTTTTTTTCCTATTTTCCCCTATTTTTCCTATGTTTTTCCTATTTTTTCCTTCTTTTAAATTCGGCTCCCAAAACCGTCAAAAAACGTAAAAAATATCGGAAAAATAGGAAAAATAGGGAAAACATAGGAAAAACTTAGAAAAATAGGAGAAAAAAAAAGAAACAATAGGTATACTACAAAGCACTTCCCAGTTTTTTTGTTTTCCTATTTTTCCTATGTTTTTCCTATTTGCATTTTTGAATCCTATTTTTTTCCTATTTTTCCTATGTTTTCCTATTTCTGAACATCTGCTTCCAGCACCATACCTTTTTTTTTCCTATTTTTCCCTATTTTTTCTTATTTTTTTCCTATGTTTTTCCTATTTTTTTCCTATTTTTTCCTTCTTTTGAATTCGGGTCCCAAAACCGTCAAAAAACGTAAAAAACATCGAACAAAATAGGAAAACATAGGAACAAAAATAGGAAAAAAATAAGAAAACAATAGGAAAAATAGGAAAAAACTAGGAAAAAAAATAGGAAAACATAGGAAATAGGTAGCAGCCCATTTTTAGAAAATTAGGAAAAAAATAGGAAAAAAATAGAATTCAAAAATAGGAAAAAAATAGGAAAAAAATAGGATTCAAAAATAGGGGTGGGGGAGAGGAGGGGGAGGAAGCGGGGGGAGGAGGAAAGGGGTGTGGGAGCGCCACGCTTATTGCTGAATTTGGGACGCGCCGAACGTCACGCAGTTCACAAGTTATTGGCTCATTATTTCAATCGTTTAGCCAGCTCCCCCAAGCAGATGGTGCCTTCAAGATTCAATGTCTGCTTTCGGTTCCTTTTCTTTTCCAATTGCGAACGCAGCAGCAGCAATTGCAATTACTTACATACACGCATGGGACATATCCAAACATTTACATGTATAGATGTAACACCATACGCAGGTTGGCAGTGGACCCACATATATCCACAGTGACATTCCTGATAAAATGTGGAAGGCTCTGCTTGTGTTTTGTGTTGGTGTTGTTCCCAAATTTGAAGCTGTGGTTCATCTTGGTTTGGCAGTCCTTTTTTTCCTATTTGAGTTCTGGAACCCTATTTTTTTCCTATTTCTGAATCCTATTTTTTCTTATTTTTTTCCAAAAAATAAATATTTATAGAACGAATAGAAATAGCAACATCTCAACATCATAACGCAAGGTTTCCCAAATAATTAGATGCCTTATTAAACCCTTATCAAAAAACAGCATCCAGGCAATTTTTCAAGGGGTTACCTCATGAGTGGCTCAGTTACTCAATAATATAATTGTCTGGATGGTACTCTATTGTGAGCACCAACTTTTGAGAGTGAAAAAAAAGCAAAACCATTTCTCCACCTTTCTTTGGGTAAAGCTGGTCCCGTTTCTTTAGAAAGCCATAATTGTGTTAAAACTTTAAAATGCAAGGTTTCCCAAATAATTAGATGCCTTATTAAACCCTTATTAAAAAACAGCATCCAGACACTGTTTCAAGGGGGTACCTCATGAGTGGCTCAGATACTCAATAATATAATTGTCTGGATAGTACTCTATTGTGAGCACCAACTTTTGAGAGTGAAAAAAAAGCAAAACCATTTCTCCACCTTTCTTTGGGTAAAGCTGGTCCCGTTTCTTTAGAAAGCCATAATTGTGTTAAAAGTTTAAAATGCAAGGTTTCCCAAATAATTAGATGCCTTATTAAACCCTTATTAAAAAACAGCATCCAGACACTGTTTCAAGGGGGTACCTCATGAGTGGCTCAGATACTCAATAATATAATTGTCTGGATGGTACTCTATTGTGAGCACCAACTTTTAGGAGTGAAAAAAAAAGATCGTAAATTAAAAGTAAATTGAAATCAATTGAAAGTAAATTGAAATCCTTTCTTAAGTTGATTGACCAAAAAAATGTTGAGGGGGTGCAAAAAAAAAGTGCGAGTTATAGAGTATCCTCAAATTGTTTGGGGGGGGGCCCTCACACTAATCAGATGCAAACATTAACCCAAAAGACGCTCACATATGCGACGGATGCATTTGAAGCAGAACTGGTACTATATAAAGACAACTATCTGAAAGTTTAGTATATGACCAGTTTTTGGATGTGCGTGTTTGGCTTTCAAGCTATATAATGGGATTGCATACATACCAAACTTGGAGGATCTTGACTGAGCCACTTGCAACTTGCAACAGGACCGCACGACCCATATTCTTTGATACCAAACCAAAGGCAACATCAATGCACATAGAAGCATCAAATTATGTGGTTCTCTGGGGTTGGCCATGGTGCTTTGTCCGCTTTATCACTAGGTCGCTAGATGCAAACAAACAGGCAGGCAGGCAGTGAGGCGAATAGATGGGTTTCCTACAATCCAGATCTAACATGCGCATGCGCTAGTCATGGCTAGTCACTGACAATTAGTCCAATTCCATCCTATTCTCAATTAATCCTCATTGTACACCCATATGTGGTTGCTTCTGCCCGCCCATAAACATCTATAATTCTATTCTTGGATAGGTGAAACCTGCAAACTTTAGTGTGGAAACTTCCGTTCCAACCGTCACCGGATGTAACCCTCTGGAAGATCACCAAAACAATGAAGGAACTTGAAGGAACAAGCCGGCTGCAGAAATGTGATCGTTATAAAAATGGCAAATCACACAGGGAACATCATGGGAAGGAATATTGAAATATATAAAAAAAAATTGACCTCTCTTAAGTCGTGACAGGTATCAATGGGGGTTCATGCAGGGGTTCAACAAAGTTAAGCCGACCAGAGTATGGATATAATGCGAAAAAACTGGATGTATAACCAGCTATCTGATTTGGGTTTGTCCAAGGATGGTGGGCACCCCAATGTATGACATCCCAACATTGCAATTTGTGTGGAACTTGGCAATGCGAAAGCAGCCACCTAGAATGCAGCCGCCCGGAAGATTCTTGCCCAAAGACTTTGCGGCAAAATGAAAAGCATGTGTCCCAACATTTGGTCTACTTATGTCTACTTGGTCACCTGGTCGATGTTCAGCTCCAAAGCTAGCATCTAAATAGTTTAGCTCATTTAATTCCTATTCGTTATACAATATATATATATATATATATGTATATATTTATTTATTTAATATACCTGCATCTTCCAAGGTAATTATGTAAAATTATTGCCTTTTCAGGAATTAGTGCTGGCGGCATGTTTTGCTGCCTGTGAGCAGGTTTTGTATTTTTCTGCCTTTGCACATGTTTGCCGGTGTTGAAACGCCGAAAAACACCAACGAAACAGCGAAAAAATCAAACGAAACGGGAACCCAAACTGTGAAGACTGAAACGGCGAAAAAAAACTGGAAACGGCGAGATTTTAGGCAACCGGCGACAATTATTGCTGTTTCGGATTTCGAGCGATAATTTTGCATAGGTGGATTATCCAGTTATATATATATTATGTATGTATATATATATATATGTATGTATTCATTTTGACTTGAAAGATGTTCCCCAAGTATGGTCCAGAACAAGCATGCAACCGATTGAAAGGACGAAGAACCCATAACCCCCTATACTTTATCGAATCGGCGGAGCCGGCGGAAAGTGCTGTGCTCCGGCAGCGAAAGGTGCAGCCAAAGGGGCGGGATGCAGAATGCGAAGAATGGACGCGGAAATTGTCCTGGGAAGCTGGGGTGGAATATCTGGGTTCATTTGAACCAATTGTCCAGGGATACTGTATGCAAATCTATTTAGAGAATATCAGTATATGTCGCTAGCGCCGGCTGCCGCGTTCTCATCTTCAATTCCGTTGGCACACTGAGACTCTGTCAAGCAGTGCCTGACTAAATGCGCACCCCAACCCATGTCATGATAATACACATGTGTACAGTCACTCCAGCAACAAATGAATCACAATCAACCCGCCTATACCAAGCAGTCCATCCCTTCACTTGATTGACTGACTCAAGCTGAATTCATCATTGTTAATTCCCCCGACTCTGGCTTCCCGGCTTCCGATCACCCTTTCCATTGCAAATCACCAGCAACTCCTGAAGTACTGTATAAAAAAGGGAAATCCCCCTACAACTTGCTGCTTCGTAGAGTCACGTTATTTGATGGATTCTTGTGGGTGTCCAGGGAGTCGGAGTGCCATCATGTGGCATCATAAGCTACAGTACTGAGTAAAAAACAGTTGTCATCCTCACATCAGAACTGTTTTCACAGGTTTTGCAGGTCAGACGGTCAGAAATATGTGTGGGTTCTCTAGACCCGGCATGCTGTGCGTAAGAAAGCACTCAGCAAAACATTGCTAAACATATTATGATTTTTTCATGTTGCCTCATGCGTCGGCACCTTGAAAGTAAAATACTCTAAAGCCATCACTATTTATAAGCCATCTTATCTCTTCTCAAACAACAATTTGAAAATTGTTTTTGTCGTTTTCCCATGCAACTGTCATTCCTTACATTGGCCAACGGCTAGTCGTCTCAACAACGTCACCTCTTGAAATGGCCAATTGAAGGAGCGGGGCTAACCCTCAAATTGTGATGGGTGTTCTACATATTCAATATGTTGCAATATTTTGAACTGGCATCCTCCCAATCAACAGCCACCCGGTTGACCGCCAAGTCTCAGAATAGAAGAACTCCGCTGTTGGCCTCAGTAAGGCAATTGTTTGTACATCCGTGAGCATTTCGAAACTATTCATACTTACATAATGCTGATATTGCGCGTAGGCACGTTGACGGCCCAGCAAACCCATGCAGTACTAAAGCGAAGGGAAACCTACAACTTCTATCCAATACCAGGCAGTGCCCGGCACGCGCCGGGGCGGAAGTTTCAACAAAAATAGAACATGACTATAGGAACCAGCTTGCTTATAGGAATTGTTGGTGAGCTGGAAAGAAGTTAATTGGAAAAATGCATTGAATAAAATAGATGATTGCATCGAATTGAATTGAAATGCATGAATGAATGAGTGACAGAACGAAATGAAACGAAAAATAAAAATAAAATGAATGAATGAATGAATGGATGAATGAATCAATGAATGAATGAATGAATGAATGAATGAATGATTGAATGAATCAATGAATGAATGATTGAATGAATGAATGAATGCATGAATGAATGAATGAATGAATGATTGAATGAATCAATGAATGAATGAATGAAAGAATGAATGAATGAATGGACGAATGAATGAATGAATGAATGAATCAATAAATCAATGAATCAATGAATCAATGAATGAAACAACAAATGAATGAATGAATGAATGATGAATGAATGAATTAATGAATGAATGAATGAATGAATGAATGAATGAACGAATGAATGAATGAATGGATGAATGGATGAACGAATGAATGAATGAATGAATGAAAGAAAAGAAATGAAATGAAATGAAAGGAATGAAAGGAATGAAATGCATGAATGAATGAAATCATGAATGCATGAATGCATGAATGCATGAATGCATGAATGCATGAATGAATAAATGAATGAATGAATGAATGGATGAATGAATGAAGGAAGGAATGAATGAAGGAAGGAAGGAATGAAAGAATGAACAAATGATCGAATGAACAAATGAACGAAATTGACACATGAACGGAATGAACGAAATGAACGGAATGAACGAAATGAACGAAATGAACAAAATCAACGGAATGAATGGAATGGAATGAATGGAATGAAAGGGAATGAGTGGAAAGAATGGAATGAAGGGAATGAAGGGAATGAATGGAATGAATGGAATGAATGGAATGAATGGAATGAATGGAATGACTGGAACGACTGGAACGACTGGAATGACTGGAAGGAATGACTGGAAGGAATGACTGGAAGGAATGACTGGAACGACTGGAAGGAATGACTGGAAGGAATGACTGGAAGGAATGACTGGAAGGAATGACTGGAATGAATGACTGGCATGAATGACTGGCATGAATGACTGGCATGAATGGCTGGAGTGAACGACTGGAATGACTGACTGACTGACTGGAATGACT